CGCAGCGACCGCGGCCGCTCCCCCCACCGCCGGACGCGATGGCCGGCCGGACACCTGACCTTTGCCGCGCGCCCGAGTGCCCTCGGCGCTGAGAGGCGGCGCAGCCTGAGAGGCGGCCTTGTTTGCCGGCGCGCCCCGGCCGGACACCCCCGCACCGATCGCTGCAGGCTTCGCGCCGCTGGGGCGCCGCCGCTCTCGGACAGGGGACGTACCGCCGGCGGAACGGCCTGGTGATAGAATAGACGGCCTGGTGCGGACCGGCACGGCGACAGAGATGCCCGGCGATAGAAGGAACGGCCTGGTGCGGACCGGCACGGCGACAGAGACGCCCGGCGATAGAAGGAACGACCTGGTGCGGACCGGCACGGCGACAGAGACGCCCGGCGATAGAAGGGACGACCTGGTGCGGACCGGCGCGGCGACAGAGACACCTGACGGTAGAAGGGACGACCTGGTGCGGACCGGCACGGCGACAGAGACACCTGACGGTAGAAGGGACGACCTGGTGCGGACTGGCGCGGCGACAAAGACGCCCAGCGATAGGAGGGACGGCCTTGTGCGGACCGGCGCGGCGACAGAGACACCTGACGGTAGAAGGGACGACCTGGTGCGGACCGACACGGCGACAGAGACACCTGACGGTAGAAGGGGCGACCTGGTGCGGACCGACACGGCGACAGAGATGCCCGGCGATAGAAGGAACGGCCTGGTGCGGACCGGCGCGGCGACAGAGACCCCCGGCGATAGAAGGGACGACCTGGTGCGGACCGGCACGGCGACAGAGACGCCCGGCGATAGAAGGGACGACCTGGTGCGGACCGGCGCGGCGACAGAGACACCTGAGGGTAGAAGGGACGACCTGGTGCGGACCGGCACGGCGACAGAGACACCTGACGGTAGAAGGGACGACCTGGTGCGAACCGGCGTGACGATAGAGACGGTGCGCCGCCGACAGAACGGCCCCCTGATGGGCGGGGCTGGCCAGTTGTGGAACGGCGGCGCGTAGGAGGGTCGATGGGGCGGTTGGCGGAACGGCCTAGTGATGGACGGAGCGGTAAAGTTATGCGAGGAACGGTGTGCTGGAGGACGGAACGATGAAGTTATCGAGGGATAGGCGCTGCCATAGGCGGGACAGTGCAGTGACGGAGCGGCATAGTGAAGGGCGTAAAGTGATTGGCAGCGCGTGACATTAATGGGCAGAACGGCACGGGAACGACGCTGGAACGGCGAGATGGCAAGGCGATTAGTGGGGAATAACTGGGCATGGGCGGAGCGGCTTAGTGAAAGGCGGAACGGCACACTGCTGCACGGAAGGGGCTGTCTGTGGGCGAAACAGCGATACGGTAGGCGGTACGGCCCGGTGATCAGCAGAATGGCGAAGGAGTCAGTGGAACATTGGAGCGATGCGCGGAAGGGGCGATGACGCGGACAGAATGGCGAAGTGATGGGCAAAACAACTTGGTGATGTGGGGAACGTTGAGGCGGGAGTCAACAGGACGTGGCGCAGGACAGAAAAGGCCTAGACACCGGCGGAGCGGTGGTAGTCACACTGACACAAGCTGGCGACAGCTCATCGACGAGCAGCACGGCGTAGCGATGGATGAACGCACAGGAATGCAGCTGGGCGGCGTGCTCTCGGTAAACGGTGGCTGCTGAAGACTGGCCTTCATGTGACAGTGTGAGACAGAAATGGGCATGGTACTGAAGGCTGAGAAGAGGTGGCTGCTTACTGTCGGTTTTAAGTTATAAGCTGACCGTCTGTATGAAATATTACATTCCAGCAAAAATGCCCTGTGGTTTGAACATGGAGTTTATGTCATGATACTATTTGGTCGTGTATCATCATGACGACAGGCAGTAATGACAGCATTCTCTGGCTGCAGCTGAGGCTGCAGCATTTGCTGACATTGGTCTGGGCGTGGTGGCTATGCGGACGCTGTTACGAATCTGCCGCCTTGTTGACCACGGAGCGACCTCAGCCTTTGTAGCTGTGAGATGCTTTGCTGCATGACTAACAGTTATGATACCCAAAGAAAGGGGAAAACACCACTGTGACCAAGGCGGATGAGAGTCAGAAAAACCGTGTGGGAGCACTCTTCTTTAGGCCAGTACCATCCATGTATGACTACAAAATCAATGTCAGTGTAAGTCAAGCCGCTACACAAGGGGTGGCAGGTGCCAGTGGCTCCATCCCCATCTCCCGTTCATCCACTCACCAATGTTCCGCCTTTCAGCGTAGCGCCGTATTGAGCATGCGTAGAAACGTCCGAATAGGCCTAGCCCACGTGACCGCAATAGATATATCAAGAGGTGATGCGAGTCAATCGTCGAGCATCAACTTTACGAATGACGCTGGGAGATCCTTGAAGCTCAGGGACTACGTGGACCGCTCGGCACAGGCCCCTCCAAAGTGGAGGACAACTGGGAGACGAGCCGTTCTTACTGTGCTGGGCTCGCTACAGGGGGAGGGGGCCGGAGTGGTTTGGTTGGAGAGGCGCGCGAGTGCCTTTGTTGAGGTGCTTTTATGAACAAAGCCACCGGGGTGGCCCTCAACGAGGTGCTAAAGCCCATACCATGGGTCCTATTCAGCCCGGGCCGGCGTGGAGCATCCGCGAGGACAGCGGCGGGGATGTGTCGGTGGCCACCAGAGAGTTGCCGCCAGTCGCGGCCGCTTCCACCTTTTGGCACCGTTGGTTCGCGGGCCGCGCGCGACTTCGACCTTCTGGCGCTGCTGGTTCGCGGGCCGCGCACGACTTCGACCTTCCGGCGCTGTTGGTTCGCGGGCCGCGCACGACCGGCGCGCGGCGGCCGTTTCCGCCCCGCCATTGCCGCCGAGGCACCCAGGAGGCCTTTGTCGGCTCAGATTAGGCGGACGAAACGGCCCTTTACGGGATTAAACGCTCCCTTAAGTGCACCTGAAACCCACTAAGGGTACTGCTGGCCTGGATGGAGACGGACGGGAAGTGCTGGGCCTGGCAGGGCACTGGTGTCACTGAAAGCGGCGCGGGCTATCGCTGAGGCTTACTTTGCTGAGACCATCCGTGCAGAGCGGAACTTTTTTGAAGATGTTGCTTTCCAGTTTGAAGAAGTCCGGTGGTAACTGCCGCCTTTGTCATGCTCGTAGTCCTCCCCGTCCTGCACGACCCCACCTGTTTTTCCATGGACCAGATAACTCCATCCCGATGGGGTCTGCGTCAGCTCCTTCACATTTCATCGTCATTGGGGCAGGCTCTTCTGGGAGGGAGAGACGTACCGGTCCGTGTCACGGTTAGACCCGTCCCCGTCAGGAGGAGGCTCCCGGGAAGAGGTGCCTGTCCCCGTCAGGAGGAGGCTCCGCGGGAGAGACCGGTCTGTGTCACGGTTAGACCCGTCCTCGTCAGGAGGAGGCTCCCCGGAAGAGTTACTTGTCCCCGTCAGGAGGAGGCTCCGCGGGAGAGACCGTTCTGTGTCACGGTTAGACCCGTCCTCGTCAGGAGGAGGCTCCCCGGAAGAGGTATCTGTCGCCGTCAGGAGGAGGCTCCGCGGGAGAGACCGGTCCGTGTCACGGTTAGACCCGTCCCCGTCAGGAGGAGGCTCCCGGGAAGAGGTACCTGTCCCCATCAGGAGGAGGCTCCGCGGGAGAGGTACCAGTCCGTGTCATGGTTAGACCCGTGTCTGCCCGGAGGAGGCTCCCCGGAAGAGGTACCTGTCCGTGTCACGGTTAGACCCGTCCCCGTCAGGAGGAGGCTCCCCGGGGGAGACCGGTCCGTGTCATGGTTAGACCCGCCTCCGCCCGGGGGAGGCTCTCGGGGCGCGAAGGCGGCCGTTCCCGTCTGGGCCAGATCCGGACGGCGTCATCAGCCAGCGGACAGTCGCGTGCCGCCGGCAGCGGGCCGTTCCGTCAGCGGAAGCGGCCGCTGCCGGCTCGTTTCAGAACGCGCCGGCTTCATCTCTGCTGCGGACAAGCAATCTCGCGGGCCGCCCTTCCCTCGCGGGCCACAACATGTTCATTGCTGCCTTCCCCGCTCAGTCACGTGCGTCTCGTTGCCGCGAAGCGGTGTGCCTTTTCGCGGTCCGTTGCCAACACATCAGTACTATTTGCGAGCGCCGGCTGCATGGGGCGTGCTGCCAGCATGAGGGGTGCACCGCGCCGACCGCTCAGAATTACGCTGTTGAGGCGTGGCGGCGGATTTATGGGCGGTACGCGGGCCGAGTGAGAGCCGCTCGCCGCCGGCGGTGTCTGGAGACGCTCCGTGCCCGGACTCGGCCGCGTGTGGCGCTGTCAGCGCCCGCCGTCGGCCGGCCGCCGCTGCCGCCCCGGCGCGCCACCGTGACTGTCGATGTCGGGGAACAATGGCCGGGGCCGCGCGGCGTCACCAGCCAACCCGCGCTCGGCGCTCGGCCGCGGCCGGTGCGCTGTTTGATCGGCCGGCTGTGGAGTGGAGTGATTGCTCGTGGGCCCATCAGCCGGATGGAGAGCCCGGCGTCGGCACTGCCGTCTGTCCTCTGTTGGCCGCCGAGGAACCTGTTTATCACGTGTCGCCGGCGCTATGGAGGCTCGTCCGTCGCCGCCGGCGGACGCGCCGACGGCACTCGGTCGGCCGGCCGGCGAGCGGCGCCGAGACGACCCGGCAGCGTGACGGGGAGTCGTGACGGCGCGACGTGACACGTGGCCGTGCATCGGTGTGCTATCGCCGGGACGGAGCACTGGGTCCGTCGATGAAAAGTGACCGCCGTCAGGAGCATGACTACTGTCAGGAGGATGACCGTTGTCAAGAGGATGACCGTTGTGAGGACGGTGACCGCTGTCAGGAGGATGACCGCTGTTAGTAGGTTGACCGTTGTGGAGAGAGTGACCGCTGTCAGGGCGATGACCGCTGTCTGGAGGATGGCCGTTGTGAGGAGGATGACCGCTGTCGGGAGGATGACCGTTGTGAGGACGTTGACCGCTGTCAGGAGGATGACCGTTGTGAGGAGAGTTACCGCTGTCGGGAGGATGACCGCCGCCTCCACTTCGACAGATGCCGCGGCTGGAGATCAAGCTAGCGCACCAGCTGTCGGCCACCGGCTGTGTCATCGCCTGCCGCTTCCCGCTGCCCACTTGGCGCCCTTCATACGTTGTCGGCGACGGCCAGGACGCCGTCTGGGTCTACTTCCGGCAAACCGGCGACGAGGACGCGCCTGAACCAGTGCGCCGATCCTCAGCCGGCCGCAGCTGACGGGCGCCGAGGCCAGCTGACGGCGCCGAGGCCAGCTGACGGGCGCGGAGGTCAGCTGACGGGCGCTGAGGTCGGCTGACGGGCGCCGAGGTCAGCTGACGGGCGCCGAGGCCAGCTGACGGGCGCCGAGGTCAGCTGACGGCGCCGAGGCCAGCTGACGGGCGCCTAGGTCGGCTGACGGGCGCCGAGGTCAGCTGACGGGCGCCGAGGTCGGCTGACGGGCGCCGAGGTCAGCTGACGGGCGCGGAGGTCAGCTGACGGGCGCTGAGGTCGGCTGACGGGCGCCGAGGTCAGCTGACGGGCGCCGGGGCCAGCTGACGGGCGCCGAGGTCAGCTGACGGGCGCCGAGGTCAGCTGACGGGCGCCGAGGTCAGCTGACGGGCGCCGAGGTCAGCTGACGGGCGCCGAGGTTGGCTGACGGGCGCCGAGGTCAGCTGACGGGCGCCGAGGTAGCCTGACGGGCACCGAGGTGCGCGGCCAGCCGCGCACCTCGGCCCGACTGGTGGCCCCAGTCTAGTGCCATGCCAAGTGTTTGTTGTGCGGAGTGATGTCACGGTTTGGAGGAGATCGACAGAGGATGTGGTAGGTCATTGATAGCGACGAAAGGCTGGCGTGTTTTGCGAGTCCGCAGGACGAGATTTTCTGTAGTAGTCGTGTGCAATGTGGGGAATCCCGTGCTGAAGTCATTGGTATGACACCGAGAGTTGTAGGCAGTGATGATGTATATATACACTTGCTGGACTGCATGTTGTTTTATTGCACATTTTTCTGATATCGGCTATAACAACATTCGCTGGCGTCAGTTCAGTGTACGCATCAGTTATGTTGCAGCCAGTGAGCCAAGATAACCTATGTGGGGTAAGTGCAGAAACCGACGTGCACCCGACACCGCAGAGGCTCGTTACGCGCATTACCAGTTCGTCAGTCCCAATCGTTCTATCTGGAAAGTTCGTAAGCGGGTCTCGCAGCGCTGCCACCTGCCATGACTGGTGACGGGGCTACCGCTGCACCGCATACAACTACACCTGCACACGACAGCGAGCTGGCTCGCCGGCCACTGTCCTCTGGCTGCGCACGAGGCTGGCGTCCACCAAGTCCCGTCTGTAGAGGTGAGACTGACGGGTGTTACCACGCGCCCGGGTGGGGGGTCAAGTTGACCCTCCCGAAGATTTTTCCAGAATGGTTTCCGAAAGGCGCGGCGTAGCCGCACCCAATTTTGCTTAGCTGTAGACAATTGAATAGCGGATCGTTTTGCATCAAAAATTTCGATGTACATTGTAAGGTCGCTGACCTATGGCAGGTCAAAGTCAGGCTATGGTCTCAGCGAAGTCCATTTCTAGGGAATCGGCCAATCTGATGCAACAACGGAGTGCTCTAAGGAGCTATACATATCTGAGGTGCTTTCTTAGGCGACACAACAGTTGAATGAATAAATTACATTGACCCAAGGTCAAGTATGAAGGTCACATCAAGGTCAAAACCGACCTGTCTTGTTCCTCTAGGCTTGCTGTACAGGATAGGACACACGGGACAGGATAGTTTCTGGTGCTCATGTCGAATTTATTGATGGCAGGAGCCGCACTATACATCTTCCATGGACTTCTTAGGGGTCAGAATAGATCATTGACCCAAAATGACCCAGGTCAACATTTTGTTCGAGGGACATACTGTCCAGCGTAATCTTTGTCGCTTAGTCAAATGCAAAACTCACAATCGTTTATAATTTTGGTCACCTTGACCTTCAAAAGGTCAAACAGGGTCACTGACCTTGAATTGAGAATGTGACCTTTTGCTTAGAAATGGTTATCTAGGTTCTGGGGGCACTTTGGGGAACGACCTAGAACTCGACCTTGTTTGACATTTTTTGACACGAAGGTCCTGACCTAGGAACCTGAAACTTTGGCCTAAGTGAGTTTACGTACAGGTCAACACATCCTGTAAATTTGATGTCTCTAGTTTTGTTAGTTCCCGAGATCTCAGGGGAAGGGGCAAATTGCCCCCCCCCCCCCCTCCACCCGAACGAGGGGTGTCTAGCCGGCCACCCGTGCGCGTGTTAACGAACACTAGCCTCAAGAACGGATGGCTTGACCCGCGATGGGAACCACCGCCTGTTCTCGGACCGCCACACGCCGCTGACCGTCGCTCCCCGTTCCCGGGTACAGGTAGAAAAAATCACCTTTATTGGACCACCGCCGTGTCTTCTCACTCACTTGTCTGAAGTACTACACCCAACGCAGTTACCACTGAGAGCTCACAACACTGAATGCTCGCAACACATGCACCAACTGATGCCGAACAGTGACGCGCTAGACCGGCGACAGCCGCGCCAGTCTGCTTGGACCGAGCGGTGGGGTGCTTCTGTCCATGCATATTTATGCAGATGTCCTATCTATACATATGCATATTTATATAGCTGCTCCCGTCTGTACACATGTGTCCAGCAGGTCACCGGTGGACAAATCCCCAAGTGTAAAACAAAACAAACGCGCACCGGTGTAAAATAATGGCGTGTGGACAGCCGCCTCTAAACATATTCATGTACATACGCATTTAGCTGCTGCCGTCTATATACATGCATCTAGCCCTACACCAGCGTGGAGGAATCTCCGGGCGTGCGCCGGTGCGAAATAATCGCGTGTGAACAGCCTCCCGCGGTCTTCATCAGACGCCAACCCTGCCACCCCCATATCGACGATGAACGACGGCAAACGCGACGGATGAGCGCCGCCGTCGCAGGCGGAGCGACGAGCACCGACGGCTACCACCGACGGCCACCACCGCGGCTCCCGCGCCCGCTGCCGTCGTGGCCATTGCCGGGTCAGGCCTGGCGCGGCAGAAAAACCGGCAGGGCTGCACACGGCAGGGCAGAGCACCGACAGTGGAGAGTACCGCGATTACAGCACACCGACAGGACAGAACACCGACAGAACAGAGCATCGGCATGACAGATCATCGGTAAGACAGATCATCGGCAGGACAGTGTACCGGCAGGGCAGTGTACCGACAGGACAGAGCTGCTGCATCACAGCCCACGGGCAGGGCAGAGCGCCGGCAGGACAGAGCACCGCCTAACAGCACGCCGACAGGATACAGTACCGCCATGACGGAACACCGGCAGAACAGGGCGTTGGCAGGACCGGATGCCGGTAGGTCAGAACATCGGCAGGACGGAGCATCGGCAGGACGAGACACCGGCAGGTCGGAACATCGGCAGGACGGAGCATCGGCAGGACGAGACACCGACAGGTCAGAACATGGGCAGGACGGAGCATCGGCAGGACGAGACACCGGCAGGTCAGAACATGGGCAGGACAGGGCATCGGCAGGACGAGACACCGGCAGGTCGGAACATCGGCAGGACGGAGCATCGGCAGGACGAGACACCGGCAGGTCAGAACATCGGCAGGACAGGGCATCGGCAGGACGAGACACCGGCAGGTCAGAACATGGGCAGCACGGAGCATCGGCAGGACGAGACACCGGCAGGTCAGAACATGGGCAGGACAGGGCATCGGCAGGACGAGACACCGGCAGGTCAGAACATCGGCAGGACAGGGCATCGGCAGGACAGGTCACCGGCAGGACAGAACACCGACAAGACAGATCATCGGCAGGATAGAATACAGGTGGGGCGCTAGCCGAGCATGGCAAGCCAAGACGCATGGAGATAAGTTGAGTGACAGAAAACTTAGTGTCGTTCTCGTCTGGGGCCGAGACTTAACACCGGAATGACAGCAGCGGGACGGAGCACGGCTTCGCTCGGGCCAGCCTCGGCCGGACCTGTGTGCCAAGCTCGTACGACAATAGCGCGACATTTGCCAAACGGGCCAAGCGCCGAGCAGCCCCTGGGCGCTCATCCAGTGACGTGGCCCGTGCGACCCTCAAAACGGCTGCTGGCCTCGGGCCTTCATCGTTGCTGACCTGCGGTGCTGTCTGCCATCTGTCTGGCTCGTGCTCGACGTGACTGAGGTGGCCGCCGGCGAGCGCTGCCGGATGCGGGGCGAAGTCGATCCGACAGCGACGCTTTCGTTGGTCTGGCATGCGGAAGACGGCAGATATCGTGAGTCGTTCATGATTATTAGATGAGCCATTAATCAGGATTAGTTTCTAGGATATCAGAGGAAAACATGAAATGGTTGGAGGCTTGAGTGAAGTTAAGAGGTTTGGAGCAGTCTCAGGAGGGATATGCGCTTGACTTCGCAAAGCGGCCTTGATGGTAGCGCTCATTTTTGTATCGATGTGAGTCACGTCTCGTCCGTGTCTTACCATTAGCGAGCGGGGTGCCGTGAGCAGCCTGCAGCGGGCATACGTGAACACAGTGCATCCTAATCCGGAGCTCGCCAGCCGGGGTGTGGCTCTGACACCTGCGTGGGCGCTGCTCGGCCCACGCGAGCCGACCTGCGGTCCGTGCCGACGCGGCCGCGCTGGTCTCTGCCGCGGCGGGCCGCTGCATCAGCGCTCCAGGGCCGGTGCTGGCCGGAGCCGCGCTCGCTTTGTTTGCGTGCTGGCGCGCCGGGCGAGCCGCTTCCCGTCGACGTCGACGCACCGGAGACACGTGTTTTGCTCGCCGGACCGACGAGAACGAGCGTTCCGCCAGGAATTTAAATGGCTGGAGCCAGCAAAAATTCGCTTGTGTCTGCTTGGGGCTGGTGAAACGTGTGTGCTCAGAGGAATTGCTTGTTTTGCGAGCCAGTCTTCTAAAGAAATTTACGTCCTGCGCACCGGTGATGTATTCGTGCAGTTAATGAGCTTGAGCGCAAGAGGAGCCAAGCTTTGCGGAAGGCTTAAAGGCGGCCGATCGCAAACCCTGGCACGGGTAGCATCCGCGCACGTTGTCCGAAGTGGCGTATGAAGAAACTTGTGCCTCCTGACACGCACGGACCAACGGGCACGTGTCCGGAAAAAGCTCGTGCCACCTGACACACACTGGCCAGCGAGCGCATGCCAGTTTATGTCGTTTAACTTTTGCGGTGATCGTCTGGACTGTTTTCCCCAATGGC